GAGCTAGAATGCAGGGTGGGAGAAGGAAACAGCTTCAAGGCAAAGGGCAGGAGATGTGCAGCAGGAGGGAGAGGGGGCAGCTGAAGTGCTGCACTTGATAGCCTCTTAGCCAAACCAGTCAAGATCACCTGTCAGAGGCTCCAAGATCTACTGGTAGATCCTGATCTACTGGTTGGTGACCACTGCTGCAAAGCCTTCATGGTACAAGAGATGCTGTAAAAAGTAAATGTTCTGGCTTTGTGGCAACTTACATCATAAGAACGGCTGTACTGGGTCAGACCAAAGGTCCATCTAGCCCAGTAGCCTGTCTGCCGACAGTGGCCAGCATCAGGTGCTCCAGAGAGGGTAGACTGAAGACAATGATCAAGCAATTTGTCTCCTGCCATCCTTCTCCAGCCTCTGACAAACAGAGGCAAGGGACACCATTTCTGTCCCCTGGCTAATAGCCTTTTATGGACCCAACCTCCATGAAATTATCTAGCTTCTCTTTAAACTCTCTTATAGTCCTAGCCTTCACAGTCTCCTCTGGCAAGGAGCTTCACAGGTTGACTACACGCTATGTGAAGAAGAACTTTATTTTATTAGTTTTAAACCTGGTAGTCTTTACAGATACGTGATGTGGGAAATGTTTCTCTGAGGCTTGGAATCCTGAAACCCAGCCCTCACTGGTGATAAGAGGGGTGTTTGCACAAGGGAAGGTGTTAATAATCAGAGCGGTTTAGATCACAGGAGCTAGAGGCCACTCTGTCAGTGAGCTGCCTTGGGACTGGAGAAGAAGAGGTTACAAGCTGTTACTGATTGGATGAACAGGAATAATAATCTGTCATTTGCCTTATAGATCCGCAATGATGTCTGGGCCTTGCACAATACCCACCAAGGGAAAGTCCCTGCTTTGAGCAGGTCACAGTCCAGTTAGACAAACTGTGGGAATGGAAGGTGGGGCAGCAAGTTGCTCATAGTTGCCAAACACATCAGGGATAGAGTTTGGTCCCGAACTCTGGTCCAATTGTTAGGGTACGTCTAGACTACATGCCTCTGTCGCCAGAGGCATGTAGATGAGGCTACCAGACATAGTAAAATGAAGCGGCAATTTAAATAATCGCCGCTTCATTTAAAGTTACATGGCTGCCGCGCTGAGCCGACAAACAGCTGATCAGCTGTTTGTCGGCTCAGCGCGGCAGCCATGTAACTTTAAATGAAGCGGCGATTATTTAAATTGCCGCTTCATTT